AAAGCATGTCTATGTGAGCCACTTCCTGAGCCTTTGATTCAGGGGTCTAATTTTCAAAGCAATGTAGCGAGGTTAGCAAATACAGTTCCATGACAACCGGTCAACAACAATAGATTCATACGCCAATTTTTTTATCAGGACCCTGGAGCCTATAAGCACCATTAGTTTAGAATCACGGTTTTCCGAATCCCCTAAGTGGATTCTCTGTACCCACCACCAATCGGGTCTAAGCCTTGCTAGACATTCGCTTTTCATCCTTCCAACTTTGTAAATAACACGGTCGCTATGAAAAGGTAGTCATTAAGACGGTGGATATACATGCGTAGCCGTATGAGCATTTGGAGAAGGACAGCGGACTCTCCCCTCTCTGGTCCATATCAGGGCATTTGGAGGTCCTATGCGGTCTGAAACTAACCGACTGAAGCTATTTTTGAAGCTAATAATCAGAAAGTCATTAATAGTTTGTAACAACAGAACATGTATACCAACTGTTTATTAATTAGCGATTAAGTTAGCATTATTGATTGAAGTATAACTGTTAACCCAGTAAGGTTATATTATGAGTACTTTTATTCTTAATACATAAAGAAATGTTTAGTTTTGGTTGTTTAATAATTTTTTAAATCATATTGATGAGATCTAAAAAGGGACTAGACTAAAATGGATTACTGATCGTTTAGTTCATCTAAATTAGGTTGCCGGTTGAACACTTCTTATATCTCTCTCTATTAATTAGTTTCTACACAAGGATGTAACGAAACAAGTTTATATTGACTGAAATCTTAATTGCTGAATATCATATTGATTGATTGCTGGTAACAGATACCACATAGATATCCCTATTGTGTAACCGCTTCTTAGCGCAGGTTTCAATGAAAACTACAACAGAGACTAACTATTATCTCGATTTACACTAGGTAAATAAATAATGTGAAGTACATTCATTATAAGGTCATAGAGATGGTTGAGTTTCATTGAAATCATAAATCGATCATTGTTAGACTGCCATTAGAAACCTAGAAGCACTGGCCGGCCATTTCGTCTTAGTAGGAGTCTTATCGGCAATGCTCATCCACGACTCCTGCACGCAGGGATTGAACCCAGGACCTTCTTTCTCGCGCGCGAACACCTAACCTGTAGACCACTAAGTTGGCGGGCATCCAATTGTGTCCATGTCTAACCTCAACCAATTCAAGGTATTACGTAACCTCACCTAGTGTTGTCAGTAGGTAAGCGCCTACACCCGGCTGGGTTGAACTCCACTGGTCCTTCAACAGGAGCACTGGGAAAAACGCTGATGTATGCGTTGAGAAAAAAGAATGACACTATAATCTAGAACCCACTGATGTAACTCACTTTGAGTTACATTTATCTTATTCTAGCTAATGCAAGTAGTCTATTCATTTGAAAAACAACGAGTAGATTGAAACTTCAATTTTGTGACTCAATGATAATGAAAGATAAATAAATGCTTAAATAACACAAGCAAAAAGTTAAAGCAAAATCTGACTTGAAGAAAAGCATTAATATACAGTAGAAAGTAGTGAAATTCTAATACTAATCGTTAATTAAAGAGGCCGTGAACAAAGTAGAGAGTGAAAAAGGATGACCATGAAAATGGTGCAGATTAAAAAAGATAAGCATTAAAAGGGGAAATATCATTTTTTTTAAAGGTGTGTACTGTGTTCGATTAACCGTCTGTCTGTCTGTTTGACTGTACCGATTTGTTATTCCTATGAAGTCAGTTATGCTATTTCATATATCTGTTTCGAACAGTTAGGCGACAGTCTATTTAAAAGGATGTTTGATGCAATTCAAAATGAATGAGTCTCAAATAATAAAAACATGCCCTAATTTTGAAATAAAAGAGGTGATGATACACATCAATACAACATTACAAGTATTTCTGAAAACATTGTGCTTTATTATGCCCTTATAGGCACGATTCTGATTGTAATTTTTATTTGCCTTTCAAAACTGATTTTTCGTATTATTTAAGAAAATATTTGTTAAAAAGTAGCTTTACAAAATGTAATCATGCATTTTATCATCGGTTTGTCAGCTTCAATATATCATAAATACACGAATACTAACTATTATCTCTAGACGTGAACAGACACTTAAACAAACGCACAAACAATCGATTATCAAGACCTACCTTTTGTTCTAGCTTCAAGACAACAATGATTAGTGAAAAATGAAGATTAATTAGGTTTAGTTATGATTGAAAGGCATACAATTAGCATTTATCTATCCTGTAAGTTTGAATATTCTTTTAATGATGACATGTGATTGTTTACTTGGTATCATACAAAGCGAATAAAAATAGACAACAATGTTCATCCAGTACATATTCTTGTGCTTGCTTTCAAGCTGACAATGAATATAGAAGTTAGTTGTAGTACAGTTTCTTAGACTGAATTAAAGGAAGAGGGGGGGTTCAAACTTGAGATTTAATCACTAAACCAATATAGTATTAATGAACAATTAAATAATACAAAACTTTGCATGATGGTTATATATCAGCAGCAAATTGTTATTTTCCAATGAATCATATCAACAACAATAGCAACAACAACAACGACAAAGAATGGGAAGAAAAATTCAAAACAGGCAAATGAGAACTATATCGATAATTCTTCAATTAGAGTTATGGAGATTAGTGCTTTTTGTACATTGAAATTATCAATCAATCATTGGTAGACCAACATTAGGAACCTGGAAGCAATGAATGGCCGTTTCGTCCTGGTATGGGACTCATCAGCAGTGCGCATCCACGACTCCTGCACCTCGCAGGGTTCGAACTCAGGATCTTCCGTCTTGCGCGCGAACTCCTAACCTCTGGACCATACCAAGGCGAAACAGCCGTCCATTGGATATCGCTCTAGTAGTTTAAATTTTAAGCGTTTGTATACGAGACCAAAGGTTTTGAGTTCAATCCCCTATAGTGGGGTCTGAGATACGCACTGTTTAGGAGCTCCATACCAGAACGAGACAGCCGTCAAGTACTTCCAGGTCTTCAACAGTTATCAAAATTAGATTGATTTGTGATATATCGATAAAATGACTCTTATATTTTTGAAAATTATTCTTAAATCTTATTGATGCAAAGGTGGACTATCGAAACAAAACATAAAAATACATAATCTTGAATTAGTTAGGCAAAAAAAGGATAGCATAGGAAAAATATATATATGTATCGGTTTCTTTTCTTCAATCCTTAGTGTTTTTTATTACTATTAACACAATAATATTGATACAGTGGATTGCATGATACAACAGATGCATGAATTAGAAAATTCAATAGACTATTTATACAGTCTATTGAGTTTTAATTATTTGAAAAGTATTCATCACCAAAATAAATAATAAAAAGTGACTCATTGATTAGAAAGCTTTGTTCTCTTTGTTTAAGCATTAGTTTAAAAATTCGAATTTCGCCCTAATGAGTTTGAACTTATTGCTGAAATCGTATAAATATTGCAATAGCTTTAAATAGCCTAAAACACAAAATGAGGCTTAAAAGTTGGGTAAACAAAACCCATACTTGATTGATGGGGTTGCATATTGAAAGGATTATTAAACTCTTGAATCAATCATTGTTAGACCACCATAAGAATCCTGAAACACAGCACGGCTGTTTCGTCCCTGTGTGAGGCTCATCAGCAGTGTGCATCCACAACTTCTGCTACTCGCAGGACTCGAACACAGGACATCCAATTCTGCGCCCGAACGCCTAAGCTCGGGACCACTGAGCTAGCACCCAACGATTTCAATGTCTGAATGATCAGTCTAAGAAGATGCAACCATTGGAACTCACCCTGTCGAGTGTAGACAGTAACTACAGAATGGGTGAGGTTGAGCAAAAACCTTAGATTGATCAGAGTAAACGTTAACACCGTTGCATGCTGCCTCAGTGGTCCGGAGGTCCTGGGTTCGAATCCTGTGAGTAACAGGAGTGGTGGATGTGCATGAGTCCCATACAGTACGGAACCACTGTTCAGTGCTTCTGGGTTTCTAATGATGCTCTAACAATGATTCATAATGGTAACAATAATAAGCAACAATCGTCATAACTCTATGATGAGAAACTGTTAAAATTGTCAATATTTAACTAAATGACATCAATAAAAGAAACATTATTACAGAAAAAGTGAAGAACTTGATGTTCAATACAATCATAAAAACAAATCAAACTTTATATCATCATGTGTTGTAAGACAATGAATAAATCGTAACTTATCGATTAGATATGAGTTGAGACTATGATTAAACATCTTTGTCACCAATAAAACTCGATCTTTTTTTTTAGACTTAAACACATGATAACATCAGTAAATCATTGAATTTATTCTCATTAGATTAGCTGATTTTAAAAGTTCCAAATATCTTTTTTACAAGGACTAAAATGATCGATAACATTATTAACCTTAGTATTTTTTTTCTTAAGATACGATATTCGTTGTTTAAAAAAAACATGAAATTCACATCTTATTTAATGATTAAATAGAATTTAAAAAAATATTTCCCTCCTCTTATTGCGCATATATATTGAAGTGAAGTGAAATATTTAACTCTACACAAACGAGATATTATTGCCTTTGATTTTAACGTGTTCACCAAGAATCCGGTAGTCTGACCAGTTACCACTCGGCCATATTGTCTAACATGGTACGCTACCTATCGATCAGTAATCGATTTATTTACTTTAGCAGTTATTGAATTATAATCCATAACATGATTAAAATGAAACAAATTGAAAAAGAATTACCCGATATTATGATTTTTCAATCTAGAAAAGGTCAGCTAGATAGTTAAAATTAGCTTTTACCAAAAAACAGTATGTACGGCGAATACCGATTTTCTTTTCTGCGAAATTGTTAGTTTATGAACCTGTTAACGGAGCATATTTATGATATAATTTGTTGTAGCCAGAAACAATTGCCAATTTAATCAAAATGTTTCAATCAAGTAAAATATTATAGAAAAATCATACTTACCGACAATGATGAGCACGATCAGGTTTAATAGAAAGGCACTTTATGCAACGTATAGGTGGAGCAGATAAATACGAAGAATACTGTTGCAAACATTTAGCAAATGCTTGATTCGCTGCACCAATTGGAACGCTACCCTTAAACACAATCGAGAGTAAAATAGAAGAAAGAGATTAACTAAATGACTAAATATATTTCTAATGCTAATGTCTCAGACTGTAAAGATGAATGACAAGGGTTCAAGTTCTTCATGAAGCATCAGTTTCATCAAGATCTCAAGTGGGCTTTACTGACGAGCAAGAACTGCCAAGAAACTTAGGTCCACAATTCCCTACGGAATACGTTTAATCACCAAACATTAAGACATACTACACATGCTATTGAGTGACCTAAACTCAATCTATGGAATACAACCAACACTAAGGATTTGACAAAGATGACATTGGTGCTGAACTAATATGATCACAGATAAACAATCACAGTCCCTGTTGATTCATACGTAAAAATTTTGTACGTCTTTTAAATCATATTCACTATCTTGAGATAACAGGGTATTGTATTAACAAACTAACCAAGTGATTTTTGGTGTTTAATGCTTTGAAGTGTTTCCAGAAGATATAATTATTTATATCGACAGCATAGACATCTAAAGCTAGATTCATTTTAATAAAATATTGCAATATTAGTTATGACTACCTTAACCTATTACATTCTGTATCGAAATCATTGTGTTTAAATGGTTTGGAATAAAAAAACTCCACATCTGGTAGTTTTATTGTGGATTTATTTTGTTTGTCTTGGTAAATTGAAGAAACTGAACGCTTATTACTACTAAAACGTGATCTAAATATTCAGTGAAAACGCTTCACAATATTGTACAGCAACTGGTTAATAATTAATAATTCCATTGTGATTCTATATGAATTATACCTTTTAGTTGTACTCAAGTGCTGTGTAGCCAATTTGCTGTTACATCAGAAACAGTGTTGATAATGTATCTTTTGGTAATAAGACAAAATACTCATCGTGGAGACAAACGTTAAACAGGAAAATGTTTATTGGTAGGTCATAGTCAAAGTAAGATGTAACAAGAATGGATATCACTAAGAAATATTACACGCCACATGAATAAAAAGATAGATGAAATTAACACAATGACTATCAACTATGGTAACTTGCAAATTGAATCTAATGAAATAACAGAGATTGGTTTCGAACGGTGTTCATAAATATATATTCACTATTTCTAAATATTTCTTGAACCACAGTCCTTAAATCAATAATGACTTGGATAATTTGGGCTAAGAGTAGAAGAAATTGTAAAGCGACATTATAAATTAAGCCGACCATACTAACTCTTTCTTACATTGACATGCGCTATTGTGTCACTAGATGACTTTTCTCTTGCTATCAAAATTTTGACCAGTTGTTTCATTACTTAATCATTTCACGACTTAACAGGGCTAATTCGAATGACATGTATTTCAAATACCCTTTGTCACTTTATGTCGAGAATCTAAAATGATTATTCTTTTATAGAAATACACAAATAGAGAATATTAGTGCACTCCAAACCGATATCTTAAATGTATAATCAGAAGTTAGAAAATTAGTACGGGAACTAATCCTAACGAAAGTGCAGGCAGCACACAGGCTTGCTCATTTCAATCCCTACTCTTAATCCCTAAAAGAACCAGTATGCTTGTATATCAATAATGCTCAAGGCCATAATCAAACAATAATCACAATCTTAAAGAACATTACAGTCCCATAACTATGAAGCCAATAGCTGATTAGTAGTACTAAATAAACCAAAAACGATTACAGTGCATTGTAGGCAATACAATATCGGGTAATAACTTACTGGATCAGTACTGAATGCTTTGAAGTGAGAAACTACTGCCAGGATAGCAAAAATATGGTAAATCGTCCCACTTATCCAATAGAAGGTACGTGATGGAGACTGACCTAGTACGACGAAGTCTATAACAAACTCTGCATAGAGAATAAGCATCCAGGTGATAAAAATACAGACAATTCCACAACAATCGTTAACAAACCAGATAACACCAAATGTTCGTTTAAGAGGCCGAGAATTTACAGAGCGAGTTATAGCACGAAGACCAAGTGAACGTCTACACAGAGATAAAAAGTCATATAAATCTCCAGAAGGACGAAATGATATACGTAATTTTGCCGCTGCTTCATCATCCCATGAATTTAAATCCAAATCACGAATGCCACGGTATCGAGCAGGTGCCGTATTAGGATCTAAATTGATATGAACAGATTCCTTTTCCGATGTTTCTTGTGGATAAGGTGGAACAGCTAAATTGCCCAAAGTAGATGTCATTTTTGGAGACTTTCTATAGACAGGAGGAATTGAATTCATGTAGCCATAGTTTAAAGCTTGATTGTCTAAGTGTGAAAGTTGAACAAGTAGTTGAATATATGCTATGAAAGAATGTTTTAATCAAAGTGATCACATTAATTTGACAACACGAAGGAAAAATAAAAGCTATCTCAGATCTTACCAGATATTTTCCGACAGCATAAGTTGGAAAGTGAATGATCGTGAGGATCAGTCAACTAAGCTTGTAAAATGTGCTGTTTCCTTATTTACGAATGCAGCTGCAGAGAAACCTCAGCAATAGTTTAAAATATGTTCAGGAATAGAACTATATGTATGAATGTAGAACAAAAATATCCTACTTAACGGTAAATTTACTGATGCGAATGATAAGTTTAAAACCTTTGTAGAACATGTTGATAAATTTACTATGCTACTAGCTCATCCTTATAAAACACAACTAAACAATGTATTAGTTGTCTTCTAATGATATAGAAACTGTTAGGGTTAGGGAATCAAAGAAGACAAACAAGTTTGAGGGATAACTTCTAAAACAATTTTATCATAATTAGGACAGGATGATATGAGTATGCTACCTTACTAAATAGCAGAAGCTTGGAACTTGCGTATTGGATTTTATAAACTACTAATTGAGTTGATAACCGGCGAGAGCTACGTATGGTCACAGAACTAAAACCGTAAATTTCGCTAATGAAAAAAATTTGGTGTAGGTATGCAATGAAAAAATGTTTTAAAACAACAGGATTAAAAACAATAAAAATTATCAACAAGCAATGACTTGGTTACTTGTACAATATGGAGGTTATAAGTCAAAAGACTACTTTTGTCGACTTTATATGAGAGATAGAAACATAGATGATATTTACTGAACTCGATACAGTCATTTTAATAGCACAAGGGGATAAGGTAAAATAAGGAGCTCCATTTAAACGCAGATTAGTTTTAACTGTAGGCAACACATTTTAAACAGCAAATGATGAATTAAAAATAAGGAATAATCCTGTCGATGGGACATGGGACAACCACAGTGATGATAAATATAAACAGAACAGAATAGTTTGCCTTACAATAAGCTTGGAAAATTGGGTATTTCCTAATAGTTAACACGCATCTTGTGACACTAGAAATGGTATAAAATGGATGAATTAATACCAACACTAGCAAAACTAACACATGAACTTGTATGTAGGAAGGGAAATTCAGTTGCTCATATTTAAAGAGAAATGATTTCAAGGTTAACTACTTTCTAAAATAGATTTTTGACCTATAAGCACTAGTTATGGATTGTATTAAGAATGAGTTAGCAAAGACCATCACAGGATAAAGTTTACGAAACGATGTCGCAAATTTCAAGGACAGATGCTTCACTTGAGTTAGAAGACCGAAAAACACCACTAGATCTAACAAATGATGTGGTGGGAAGTTCATTATATCTGCAGCCCGTAACTGAATACAAGTATATTATAAATTACCACCAAAAGTGAAGCAAAGGGCATCAAGTGTGTTCACTTCAGCAAGATGAGTATGATCCTTGCAACCGAATTCAATTTAGATCTATCGAATACTCCAAAAAGCTTTACCAACTTCCTGAGGAATCTAAATGTTCGCGTCGCCTTCCGAGGTGCCAAATCTGACTAATTACTAAGAAACTTCTAATCCGTGGAAAAGGCATTAACAGTGTTTTACATTACAAACCAAATCTTATGATAAAAGAAAAAGATGTCTTTAATTATTTGATGAGCACAGTCTTTTACAAGATCAAGCGAAAACGTGGGACAATACCAAAAAGCATACCGATAGTGGGTTTTTCATCTGTACTTGGTATTAACGAAGATTCGGAAAAGCTTTGATTCATATGTTGTTCTTTATATTCACAAAAATTGCATACTGCAATGATCAAGGTTTAAAGATGATCCTCCCTAATCCAACTAAATGTACCGGACATGTTGAAAATGTGGACAATACTCAATATCCAATATATCAGTGACGAGCTGCTGTAAAGGGATAAGTGACTTTACCCTCAGCCCTAAGTCGCTTAGACTAACCAGTGTGTTTACTCTCAACACAGCTATTTATTTCGACAAGTCAATACCCGGTATTTTTATGGTCTAAAGCGATGTTTGTTTGAATCAAGGCGCTTGTTTGATATTCTTAGAGTAGCTAGTACCACCATCTATCGCATTAGAAAACAGATGATTTGTGGCTCCCAATATACAGTATCTTTTCATTAGCTACTATGAACTAGGTGTTTGGTATTGTCTAGTGGATGGTGGTTTAACCAATCTATTGCACTAATTCTAGTCATTCGGCAGTTATTAATCGATTTGTATGTCCCGTGATTTGAATAACTGCATTTTTTCAATGAACTAGGCTTTATGGATATCAACAGCTATCACATTAACAGGTCGGAGATCAGTTAGTTGCACTGTGTAGAATAATGAGGAAAAAATTATAATGCTAATAAAAAGCAGATTTTAAAACTTAGTAAATAAATAGTTAATTTAGTTTGTTATTTGATAGCGAAGATTATTTCCGAGAACCGAAGTTTAAGCAAGGGAGAGTAAGCAGAGATTATAAGTGAGATATATTTAGTTAGTCGTTTGAGGTGCCAGCAATAATAACAACTAGCAGGTCTGAAGGTATGCATCAGGCACAGTTGGTGGAAGGGGAAGAGGATAATCAGTATGTGAATTCGTGTCTATTAGGTTTCCTCTTATGGCTGTCCATTAAGGAGGCTGTGTTCACCTCATCCATAAAAGGCTGAACTTTAAAAGTCATAAACATTGTGTACGATCCATTTTTGTAGGCTGCGTTTGTGAAAATCTCTCTACGTATATCTTTTGTTAGTCTGTTCGATACCATTCAAGATGGTAATATTTGTATTATATCACGGTTTCTATTTCTTCTGCCTTCACTGAGTTTCTATGTTTCTTTCTGAGCTGCTTTTATGCTGTTTAGGCTGATACTCATTCACGGCGACAGCCAAATCGACTTGTTCCTCTTTTGATTTTTTCGCTTGCACTGACTGGAATTGTGCATTTTGATTGTGAATTGAAGCACCCTTTCAGAATAAGAAGCACTCTATGTTATGAAGCGACCAAATATTATCTGTTGAACGTATCTGATCTATCCAGACGGGATAGAATAATATTTATTTGTCGCTGTTGATTTGAATAATTAAACAATTATTGGCGGAACAACTGAGAGGTAATATTTGTTTAGGTAATGATGTATATATATATATTTATGATGAATATTAGAATCGTCATTTACCCAATCACTTATTTTGGTTTCAAATGGGTAAGGCGCGTATTAAAAATACAAAGACATTTATTCCCAGTCCAAACTTCAGTTTTGATCCTTATTGTCCTTTTCGCATTCTTTCGCTTTCATAGCGATGTTGTAATACACCAAGGAAAACACATATGAAACATATGGATCACCCACACACGTTAGCTAATAACTTCAATATTCCATCAACATTTCATGTTTTTACCAGAAGATTCTTAGGTTCTCCATCTAAAGTATCAAGAAACACAAACTATTGCTTTAAGCTGGAAGTTTTGAACCAAAGGACTAATCATATATCACATCACCTCTAGTTATAACACTGAACTTTACCAGAATCCTTTCTTGTCCTCCTCATCGTTTGCAACATATTCTGCTCGTAGCACACCGTTATTCGCATGAAGTAGTGGTTGACTACGGTCAAGCAAATTCTAATGTACCTAAAGTTATCCCACATTTTATATGACTAGTATGTTTAGTAAGGTTTCAACCCAGCTAGGTTTCTAATAGCACTAAATACTGTAACGTTCGTGATATACTTATCTTGTGACGTTTTTATCTGGGGATGCCTCATACAACATGTCGTTATTTGAAAATAAATTCCGATTATCATTTGGTATTTTAATGGTGATTCAGGTTCTGAGAGCGAAATTCTCAAAATACCGGAAGTGGCGAGTGTGAAACTGAAAATGACGACGTCGAAGTTATCAACACATATGTTCGAAGTTTGCTAAAAACAAATAAATCAAAAACCTAGTAGAATAAGGATACTCAAATTAACAGTAAAAAGTCACTTAAATACCTTAACTTTATCCTGTGAAAGCTAAAGCTTCACAAAACGCAAAGTTAAAAATTTTTCTCCCTCAAGCCAGCCAGCTTAGAATTCTGACGTCTCAATTTCAAATGTGTAATTTATTTGGTACAGCGTTGACTGCGACAAAAAGGCTGCTATTATTTGTTCGACAACACTAGCCCCAAGAAAGAACCATTTCATTTGTTGAGCAGTTATTCGTCAATATATAGACAAGGATTTCACAAGGAAATTTCTAGTTTAGATTTAAGTTACATACATCAATTATGATGTATCAACACTATTATATGAACCTTTGAACATTGTTAGGTACACTAACTGTGAATTTGCTTTTGATGCTTGGGTCTAAATACACATACATTGTCGAGGCTGAAATATTCACATTGTAGAATACTATTCCTAGCTGCCAACGCAGAACCAATCTATGATTCATGACACAAAACCTTAACTCAAAAAATATAAGTCCGATTCCTTAGTTCAACAATGTTGGCATGATATTAATCAAAACCGCCTCAGTAACAGCATTTAGAATCCACGTAGTTCATACTTTCTCACCAACTCTGAATTCTAACTACGAGCTTTAAACCTCTGGCGTAATTATCAAAACCAGATGGATTCTTGCTACAGAGAAGAAAATCGTAACAAAACCAAAGATCAGTGGTGTCAATACCCTAGCTACTTTGATATGCACATTTATCGTAGGAAGTCATTTGTAACTCTGAAAACAGTTTTGGAACGAGCAATGCCTGAATGGCGAATCGAATAATAAACTACTTCGCCGGATAACAAATGTTAATCCCGATGCTCTAAGAATCAAATAAAAAGGCGATTCTAGGGGAAGAAGTATATTCAGTACTAGCCTCGTGATATCGGAATAATATCGAAACCAGAGAGCGTGCAAACGGCTAACGTTCACGCAGGAGACGTGAGAAGAGGAAAATAATGGGAATAACTTGCGCGCGAGAGCTTGTCTTTAGTACAGATAAACAAGAGGTGCACAACATGACAATTATTGTCAAAACTAGGTACAATAATGAACGTTTATATTTCAGCAATTGTGTTTTCTTCGAAAAAGTTTACCATTACACCTATATCCCGAATCTGATTACTGCAATTTATGACTAAATCGATTTGAACATCAAGTATCTTTAGATCGTACTGAATTATTTATTTCGTGGTATAGGATTTTCACGGATTTCTAGGTCATACCACAGACCCAAGTCATTCGAAGTTCAAAAATTGATAGCAGGCTATAAAAAACTGGATCTTTACCTTGTCAAATGCAGGAAATTACGTAGTAACTTCTAATGAGCTGTGACATTTTATAAATATCTGGATAATTTCTAGAATGTTTAACTGAGTTTGACCCATGCAGAAAGTCTTAGAAGGATAACTCGGAGTCAGGAGTGCGACATTGCATTTTAGACCGTAAGCATTTCCACACAATTTTATAAGTAGACATTTTAAAGTTCTGTGCGGCCTGTGCCGGTTTCCTATCACAGTTCAAAGGGAAACATAAATTTATTATGGAGCTATCGAATGTGATTCTCAAATTATTTTACCAGTTCCACCTACATAATATATCTGGGTTGGTACCCGGATCCATCGGCCATCCATTGTCGATCGGAAAGCGACATCATTCAGCGAAAGCAGCCCAGCCGTCTTAAATGGTTTTTTTTCAACTTTTTTGTCTAACTCTAACCTTCATATATGATTGGTTAACACATTTAGTTATTTTATAATGATTTTTATCTCACCGAATTCGTTTCTTCAGATGTCAGGTGTAACGACTAAATTATCAGTATCTGGTCTGAACGTTCAGCCAACGAACCAAGGTTTACTCTATTAGACCAAACTTTGTTATCTGTATAGCGCTTTTGAATAACTTTTTTAAATTATATGGAAACACAGATACTGTGTCCAGTTTAAACGGTTCTAATTCAAGAAAAAAAAACAAATTAAATCTGAATTATGAAATACTTCAAACATACGGCTTGTATTATTCAGTAGTGGTATACTTTTACGAAGATGATACAATCGCTGAAATATAAAGACTTATTATTGTACTTAACTCTGACAATAACTGTTAAATTTTACTCCTTTTGTCTATCTGTACTAAAGACTTTCTCTCGTGCGCCAAGCGTGTTTTTCCCACTCGGCATTTCTCCTCAGTGTTTTTAGTCGCTATGGTACTCTAGCCTTGATATCATTTCGATATCACAAGGCTAGTGATAAATATACCTCTTCATCCAGAAAGGTATTTTCCTTGACTTCTGGATTTTCGGGATTCAACCTAGTAATCCCGCGAAGTTGTATGTTTACTATAACGTACTGTAATACATTCGGACGTTTCTTTCCCACAAAGTGGAACGTGATATTCTTGAGCTCACTAAAGCCTCTTATACGGTACCGTGTGCACTTATCAAAGAGACGCTTGCGTTTCATTAGAACGCTTCAGTCTTGGCTATGGCATTATTTGAAGAACCCTATGCTCAGCACCTAGTTATATAGCTGAAATGTTACGAAAGTAGGGGTATCACAAGGAACCATTTTAGGCTCTTTAGTTGCGTTGGTTCTCATCAATGAACTCCAAGATAAATTTGGAATGTTGGTTCCCATTTATGTTGAAGGTGTGGTGATATAGAGGTCCTTAAGAAACAATAAGCATCCTCTTGCAACACCTCATCATTTGTTCATAATACTAACTTTAATGATTAGTCGTTTAAATTATTCGACTATTATTTTATTTGTAACAACTCGATAATAGTACCAACTTTTGTATATTTGATTGTGCGAGCGCATGCTTACCTACTTACTACATGTTTAGTCTCTTACTGCCTTTCTAAAAAATAAATTCA